GAATACAGATGCAGAAAACATTTGGCTCAAATCACAGGTTTTTGTTAACTGTCAAAAAAACTTTCCTAATATGTGGGGGAAGAAACCTTTGCGCTAATTTTGTCATATGTGTAGTGGCTGCAGAGTACATTTTCTCTTAATGACAATCAGTATATTAGATTTGTCTAGTACCATTACAGAAGTAATACGGATCTTTGTTATGTGTATTATGCAGATGATCTTTAAAGAGATCTTGAAAAATGTACCTTATCAGTTATATTAAGTAATGATGCATTAATAGTGCCAAATAGGGAACACACACACACACATATGTTTGTGCAACATCTGGCAAAGTCCCTTTGTCTCCTGATGGCCCACAAAAGCGGCAGGTTGAGATTCTTTGTTGTGTCTACCTGTGTCAGAAATAAAGGGCAGATCAGGGCTGAGCTCACCAGGCTTTACCCCAACAAAAATTTCTTCTGTGCTTGGGGAAGTTTTTTAGTAGCTGTGATTTATTTTGCTCTGTTCAGGATATCTGGCTCTATTTTTTTTCCTTGTATACATCACGAAAATGGGCTTCGAAGGGGCATTTCTTGGCTTTGATTTATGTAATTAAATTTCATAAGTGGTGAAATTAGTTTTGCCCTTTTTTTGGTTGGTTTGTGGTTTTTTTGGTTTTCGGGGTTTTTTTTTTTGCTCAGCAGTCCTGGAAAAGGTAACATAGTCCTTCATCATGTACAGTTAAAGAAATGCGGTTTGACAGAAAAGGCCACTGGCAGTAGAATTCTTGTTGAGGCATTTAAACCAGTAAATCGCTTCCAACCTTGCCCTTTTCCTCTGCTAGAAATTAGTGCGTATCAGTAGGGATGGTTGAAGCTGAACATGTTGAAGCTTCTCATCTTTGGCAGTTTCAAGACCAGTGTTTTAACATAAAGTTTTACTGGTGGATATTCATCACTGTAGGTCAAGCTGAAGTTGACACAGTTGCTTTTCAGTGTCTTCTTGGTAGATGGAAACCACAACCCAAAGTATGGGCAAACTGCTGGCACCATTGCTAAGTACCAGACAAACTGTCCATCAGAGCCCTAAGGTTTCTTGAAGTGCAATCCTTGCTGTCCTCTCTTCAGCAACAAACACTGCTTAGATCTTTCTGTCTAGTTTTGTCACTATAAACTGTGATGATAAAGAGTATTCATCTAGTTTTGTAAGGAATTATTAAGAAACACAGGCAAAAATCCATCGCTCGTAAGGCTCATAACCACAAAGCCACAGGGTGATGCTGTATTCGGGGTTTCTCTGCACGAATCTTGTCATGTTCTTGGTGCTGGTGGCTTTCTACACAAGAGAAGGAAAGCGTGAAATTAGCCCACAGTTTTTGCATACTAGCAGAATAAACCATATCTGTAGCAAGTATCTTTAGAAACCAGAATGCATATCCAGAGCACTCAGAGCAAGAACTGTTAGTTTACTTGCTAGTATTCCCACCCACTCCCATGACACTTGTATTCCTACTGGAAAGTGGCCCAGCTTCAAAAGGAAGGATTGTGCTTAAATAATGTGAAGCGCATTACTCTAAATAGCACTGGAGTCAAACACAATATGTGCTACTGGGTAATTTAACTTTTGATATGTCTTCTTTTTGAACACAGTTCACATAGAGATAGTGAGATTTAATTTAACCAACTAATATGATTTCTTCCATAATTTTCAAACATCTTCCCCAAATCAGGAGTCTTTCAAAGACGCTTCCTTAGAATAGGTTAGATTTTCATGAGTTGGCGTTCTCCAACTAAAGCAAGAAAAGTCCTGACCATTTCCGATGAGAAAATTTCCTTTTTTAACACATGTGCGAGGCTCTGTCTTCATGATATTGCAATGACATAGTGGTAGGAACAGACTGCCTCTGCCTCTGCATTGTCACAGAGAATGTGCCCCACTGCAGCTGGATCACTAAGCCAATGAAGGAAACAGGTGTGTTGATTAGTGTGTATCAGTTGCACGGTGTTAAAGCTGTAAAATCCCATAAGAAGAAAAAGCATTTGCATGATGTCTTCTTAGAGAAAGTAATGCTATAAATCATGCCATAAAGAGAAGAAAAACCTTCTAATTGCATGCTTTATCTTCAAAAGTGATGAATTTCAGAACAATCTGCATATCAGGTACCTTGTCAGTATTTTAGTGCTAAAAGGCTTCTGTTGACATATATCCAGCTTCTGTTACCTGCTTTTGACACACCACGTAGTTATTTTCTTTTTAATCTCTAAAGAACAGAAATATTGTGAGCTCTTTGCTGGTGCCAGTATGGATAGAAGCCATCCCTAAAGAGAGGTATATTGCAATTGGCAAGATATAAATCACATACTGTATAAATATAGAGGTGTTTGTGTGTCAGGATGTTGGCAAGTGGTTTGTGGGAAAAACTACTCTGTTGGATGCTGAAAGCATCTTTCAGATCTGCCATTTACAACTCCTCTTTTCTTGCTGCTTTTGTGCACGTCTTCGAATTGTCATTAGGGGTATATATGATTGCCTGTCCAGATGTTGCATAGAAGTACCTTGAGAGAGAGAGAAAGGGGAGTTCTTGCCATGTTTCTAGTGAGAATGATGTTGTTAGACATTTGTTTCGGGGTTTGTTTTGGTTTTGTGTTTGGTTTTTTTTTACAGTCACACTCTTAGTTCACTAATGTCAGCATTGTTTATTTGTAAAGGAGCTTTGCTCTCTACCAACACTGTGGCTTGCAACTGCCTTGCTGTCTCTTTGAAGCACAGTAGTTATCCCTTTCCAAACATCAGCTTCAAACTGCTGTTCCTTGGCCTTCTGTTTGACATGAGGATTATTCCTGCTGTGCAATCCACAGTGGTCCTATGGAAAGCTCCAAATAGCTTCACCTTCTTCAAGAATCCTTCATCCTTCCTACTTGAGAGTGCAGTTGACAGAGGCAGCCAACAGGAACAGAACTTTGGACACTCCCTTGTACAGAACAGTGCAGGAAACAGGGCCAGAAATGATTCTTGGCAGTAGTGGTACCCCAGGGCATGGTCCTCAGCACCTGCTGGAACAGTTACCCCAGTATATCAGAGGGCCTCAACCCAGGCTGAGCTCCCAAAGGAGGACACAGCTGCCTGGGTCTGGGGCTGACAGAATGCCAGGGACTCCTCACTGAGGCTGGGGCAGCAGGAGGTGAACTCCCTCCCTGCCCTTGTTGATGTAGGCAGAGGTGGAGGGTCTGTGTCATCAAGTGAAAGAGCTGCAGTAGATCAGCAATTTGAGCAGAATCTGAGATAATGAAAGCAAGAAGCTCTGATATTCTTTCTGGGAAATTAGTGTGACAGGGTGCCTGTTTCAAGTGTTTGTGCAGCATGGGGAGCAAACAGCAGGAATTTGAGGTCTGTGTGCAGTTGCAGGACTATGACCTCTTTGGGGTCATAGAGAGACATGGTCGGATATCTCACACAACTGCAATGAATGGATATGTGCTCTTTGGGAGAACAAGAAAAAAAGTCAAAGAGAGGAAGTTGCCTGTTATTTCAGAGAGCAGTAGGAGTGCACAGAGCATTGCCTGGGGATGGATGGTGAGCCATTCTAATGGGTAGTTTACCAATAATGACTAGGTAGCAATCAAGATGAGTTTCACTGTGATGGGTGTCTGCTACAGACAACCTGAAGAGGAAGGAGAAATAGATGAGATGCCTTTTTGAGATAATTGGAAGAAGACTCACTTTTCACAGAATGACCAGATGCCTCATGCTGTTCAACAAAGAGGAGATGCAAAGTCCTGCATTTGGGAAGAAACAGCCTCATGCTCCAGGGACAAGCTGGAAAACAGCTTTGCAGAAAAAGACCTGGGAGTCCTGGTGGTCATCTGGTTGAGATGGAGTTCATTTCTTCATAGCAGCCCTCACAGTGCTGTGCTTTGCATTGGTAGCTACAAAGGTTTTGATAACACACCGGCGTTTTGGCTACTGCTGAGCAGTGCTGGTAAAGCATCAGCACTGTCTCTCAACATTCCTCCCCACCTCCCAGAGGAAGGCAAAATTCTGGGAGGAGACACAAACAGGCCAGCTGACCCAAAATAACCAAAGAGATATTCCATACCATATGAGGTCAGCTCAGATATAAAAGCTAAGGAAAGGAGGAGGAAGGGGGCCATTCATTGTTTACAATGCTGCTGGCCAAGAAATCACTACACATGCTGAAGCCCTGCCTCCCGGGACTTGGCCGAACATTGCTGCTGATGGGAAGTAGAGAATAAACCTTGTCATTTTCCTCTTTGCTTGTGCCCATGAAAACTTTTGCTTTTGCTTTATTAAACCGTCTTATCTCAACCTATGAGTCATTGTCCATCTTATTCTCTTTCCACTGTCCAACTTTGAAGGGGAGTGATAGAGCAGCTTGGTGGGCACCTGGCCTCCAGTCAAGGTCTACGCACTACAGCCATGTATCCTTGAGGCAAAGAAGGCTAGCAGCATCTTAAGCATCATCCTATCAGGAAAACATCACTAACAGGTTGAGTGAGGTGATCCTTCCTATACTCAGCATGGGAGAGACACATCTGGAGTCCTGTTTCTAGTTCTGGGCTCCCCAGAGCTAGTGCGAGAGAGACATGGACATACTGAAGAGAGTTCAGCAAAGGCCATGAGAACAATTAAAAGCCTGGGGCATCCATCCTATGAGCAAAGGTTGAAAGAGCTGGGACTGTTCAGCCTGGAGAAGAGAAGCCTCAGGGAAAATCTTATGAATGTACAGAAATACATGAAGGTGGGTGGAGCAAGGCTCTTCTCAGAGGTGTCCAATGAGAGAACAAGAGTCAATGGGCGCATTCTGAAATACAGGCAATGTACAGACTTTTGCACTGTGAAGGTGGTCAGACACTGGAACAAGTTTCTCAGAGAGGTTTAATCTCCAACTTTGGACATACTCAAAACTCGACTGAATAGTGTCCTGAGCAACCCACTGTAAGTGATCCTGCATAATCGGGAGAGTTGGATTAGACAATCTCCAAAGGTGTCTTCCCACCTCAGCTGTGCTGTGATTCTCTTATAAATCTTCTCGCACTCCTTTTTCCTTTGCATTGGAAAAAAGGCTGATAAGATAGAAAGGTAGAAAGATGAAACAGTGCATTGATCAAGTTTGTGCTTTTTCAGAAGTGTACATATATAGTGTAGATTTTATGCACATTACCTGCTGGAATCAAGGAAATTTGAAATAAATGGAGGAGATACCCAGGGGAAGCTATCTCTCTCATATGTCTCAAACAAGGGATGCCAGTAGCTTTGATTTAGTAGTTAAATATCCAGACAACATAGACTGTGCCAGTAAATCAATAGTAGTTCTCCATTTGTGACATAATTCTCTTTTTTTTTTTTTAAAGGCAGTATTTTATGACTTGATCTTCATTACATGTAAAGTCAATGGACATATTTCCCAGAACTCTGGTCACAGGTAGCTGGGAGTCCCCAGCTGGAGAGTTGAAGACTTCCAGCCTAAATCTGTGAGCTTTGGGAAGGAAAAGACTATAAGCACGGCAGGTTGGAGTTCAGCCACCAATTACTGTTGGGATCTGATATCTTACAAATCCATAAACAGATCCATAAGCCTAGACCATCTTGTGGAACAGGTCAAGGACTGGGGAGGATCACAGAATTTATGTGTGTGAGAATCTTGATGCAAGGGACCGCCTGGCCATATATACTTAGAATAATCATGCTAAAGAGAGAAATACTTTCTCATCACATGTTATCTCAGATCAAATTTATGAGAGGATTGATTTGTTCTGAAGCTACAACATATACAATAATTTACAATAGTAAAGTATTGAATAAACATTACACTGTCACCTCTTTTCTTATTTGTCCTGAACAGTACCAGAATCAGTTATAATTCCTGAGAATGAATTCTTACTATTAGTTATCTGACCTGGATATGAATCAATAACCTAGAGCTGCAAAGCCATGCATATAATTACACCACTTCCCCTCTTAAACTTCTTTTATTATGATAACTGTAACCAACTGTTTTATGAAAAACTGCTTCTATACTGCATCTATAATCTATTCTAAAATCAGAACTAACAAACAGGACATGTACCATTTCCAGAGAATAATTACTAATTAAATGCATTCCTTTTAATATTTCATCCATTGTCCCCCAAAAGACAGAAATTTCAATCCTCTCATATACTTTTTCTACATTATTTGGAGTTTATGATCTATTCCTAAGGAATAAAAGTACAATATTATCTTGCAGAACTGAGTTGTCATGACAAAATTAATATCAGTCTAAATTACCTATGCAACAACATGATAGAAACAGAGAAATAGGATATAGTAGGAAACCAGTTCCTTTTCCATTAAAAATAAAAGCTCTATTAATAAGCTGCTGGCGTGATGTAACCATTTTAGGGTTAATGGTGGTTTTCTATCACGAAGGATTTTGCAAGTGTTAAAGTTATCAGTGTCCCCATGTATGCCTTAGCTCAGCAAAGCAGTTAAGCATGTGCTTAAGTCTCATTCTGTAATCTCTTTCTCTAACCATAAATCCTGCTTCATTGACTTCTGCACTTTTTATAGCTTGCTGAGGGAAATTCATGCTACCTGTTTGGCAACATAACAGTAGCATGACAGACCAGTGCATGCCTGCACCATGTTTAGGATTTTATTAGAGAATACCTCTGGAAATGGGAGGAAAATGTAGTAACAGAGATAATCACTTCATTCTTTTCATTTTGATTAATGTAAAAAATTTTGACATGCAAATGGTGTGTTGTTAATTACAGAGTCTATTGAGGTATTGATACTGATTCTTCAGTTATTTTCATTATTATTTAGCCTTTATTTATCAACCCTGCAGGATGCAGAAAGCTACACAGGAGCCCTAAATCCTTGCAGTCTGAAAGGCAGATGGATGTCCTACCAAATTGAAAGTTAGGGGATAAACAGAGTGAACAGGAAAAAAACAAGTTGATTTGGTGAACACAGTTTTTTCAGGTTTTTTCCTCTCTTTTCGGTGTTAACCATCCCAGTGGCTGTATATTTTTGTATGTTTTCATCTTTTGTACATTGATGTCAGTCATTTTTGTATGTCAACCGTGTGCAAGTAGATAATGCAAGTCTTACAGAAGGGGACTTATTCTTATGTACTTTACACATCAAAATGATTGACAGCACTGCGGATGTACTGGTGCTGTAAATAGGAGATGCAGGTCCTGACTCCAAGCCCTTTACAAGTTTTCACATCATATAGGCCTAGGTGATTTAGAAATGTTCAAAACTTTGCTGGACAGTGCTCTGCACAACTCAATCTACCTGTGAAGTTAGCTAAGCTTTGAGCAGGATTAGATGGACCAGATGACTTTATAAGTTTTTCATGATGCTTTAACATTAAAAAAAAAAACGGAATTGAGGGTGAATAAGATTCTCCAATAAGACATCATTGGTTGTTTCATTTTATTCAGCATAATAATGTTAATTATTAAGTCAATATGTGTACATCAACATGTTAAAGAAATGTAATGAAGAGAGAAAAAAGTCTTCATGGAAGTATTAATGCTATCTTTTGAGGTGGCTAATGAGAAAATCCTGTTAGACAAGAACAGCTGAGTTATGGCATATAATTTTTGTAAGAAATGCTGACATCTGAGAATTTGTTATTGTTTCAGTTCTGAGTGGAATTAAATGTTTCTGATATGCCACACAAATACTTGTTTTGAAAAAAGGCTGAATTTAAGCAATATTTAATTTCATAATTCTCCCATTCTGTTTCAGATTTCATTCTCTGTTTTCACCCACAGAATATATGGATAGTATATATTTATACAGGGCAGGGCTGATTCTTGTGAGAGGATGTGCAGTGCCCCTTTTCCTTTTCCTTGCAGCCTAGGGGTTGGAGCATTGCCATAATACAGAAGACCTAGATTGCACATCTGCTGTACTCAGACTTGCTTTGGAGTGAGCCCTTTCAGTATCAGAACACAATGTCCAGGGCAGCAGTACACTCAGGGACATGGTGTGCAGACTAGGTTGGGACTAACTTTTGGGGTTTCACTTAGGATGCAGGTTGACTGTCACTGAATGAGAGATTTTTAAGAAATTAGCCTTAGGCAAGAAGCAAATGGAGAAGAAAGCCAACGGTAAAGCCCAAACTGGTATTATTCAAGAGACAAAAAGAGCCATTAAAATTTTGAATAACAGTTTAAAAAATTAATGGAATACTGCAGTAAAGAAGCAAGAGATGCAGCTGTGGAAAAACTCTAGCTTTGGTAATTAACAATATCTGAGCATTCAAAACTAATCTAGAAGTAGAATGAGAGGAGAGAATATAACCAGAATTAGTTCTATGTAAATGGATGTATGTGTGAAGAAAATGAAAGGAAGACCCCCAAGAGTCCATGAGAATTTTTTGTTGAGAGTAAACTGCAACAGTAAGGCTTGAAAGAGCTACCTGTCTCTACAAAAGAAATATAACAGAGAAAACATGGTGCTCTGCAAAAAACATTTGTGTGCTCTGCAAAAAATTCTTCAAAGGGGCAAAGAACCTATATTCAGGCAGAAGATCCAGACAATGTTACAGAGAGAGAAAACAGTTATCTTACTTAGGTTTGCCATAGGAGAAGTATGTACTTTTTCTGAGCAATAGCTGAGCCAAAGAACCTGGCAGAGACCTCCTCCACTCAATGCCTGAGTTTTAGCTTGGTCAACATTACACAATATGAAGCACTGAAGAACATAACAACCAGCTTCAACTAGCTTCTACTCCACCTTCCTGGAGATAAAATTCCCTCACTTTCCCAATTAAGCATAAAGCCATCAGAAATTAGCAATAAACACCAGAATCCAAAATACTTATGACAAGTCTATTAAATAGCTCATAATGTGAGTCTCTTCAACATCCTTGTATGCAGTCTTCCCTATGTTACTGAACAGTAGAAAGGTTATCTGTCCCAAAATGTTTATGTTTAGGAATCAGAGGTATCAAGATGATCCAGCTGTTTCCAGTTTTGGACTTGTCTGGGAAAAATTCGCAATTCAGCACCCCACAACGTCTCTGAATTCCACTGACATTAGGATACCTGATCTGACCTCAGGGCTCATAATGTCTTTGAGCATAAATAATTCCACTGTCATTCTCACGAAGAGTCCCAGGACCATCAACCTGACTGACTTTATTTTGTTTCATTTTTCCCCTTCTGTATCTGCAGTCAGATGTGTACTCTGACACTGCTTGCTAAACATGCCCATGCTTTATTTTAATTTTTCTACTAACTTCAAGTATTCCCAGAAGACAGGTACGTCTTTTCTTGTGCTGTCCTGGTGCCTAACAGTCCAAAATGCAGAATAGAGTATAATCCCATCATTTTATTTCTTTCATGAGATGTGCTGTTTTCAGATGTTTGTTAGGTTTGAGACAGGTGGCACCAGCAGTTGCATATCTAAACCTGAACTTCACTGCAAATTACTTGCACTTATGGATGCTAAGTTTTGACAGTTCTTAGAGGTCATTCTTACACTGATAATAAGGGCTTTGTCTGTGTGGCTGATCTTAATAAATTCATGTAATTAATGAAGATTAATTAATTAGCTTTCAACTAAAACAGAAATATTCGGGGGTTTTCTGTGTAAAAAATTAGGTTTTTAAGCATAGACTTTCCTTTCCTGCCTTTTTGTCAGATGTCATAAAGATTATGGCTGAACAGTTAAATATCTCCTCATTGATATTTAATTTTCAAGTGATACACTTGTACCTGCAAAAATAATCTCTGTCATAATGCATGGAAATGGGAAAATTGACAGGTCTTTTTGGCAATGGCAAAAAGTGGTTTATGGTAATTTAGGCTAACCTTGACCTTTCATATATAAAAACATGAAACTTTTTGACACTTACACTCTAAGACTAATTCTCCTCTTACTTTTCTTGAGTAAATTAACACTCCACTTGTTAGCAAATGGAACGCATAAACCCCAGTCTTGGCTATGATGGTGTAGGAGATCTGTGTCCAGACCTACCTGAAAGCATCTGGACATCACTTAATCTGAGCTCACCCTCAGAACTCTTTACTCCAGAACACTGATTCATTTAATTTTTTCA